GTTTGAAACATGTGGTTCTTACTCTCCCTATCCCACAAACAGCACAAGCCCTGTAGCAGGCGTTATGGAGGTCACAATGCACTATCACCGATCGTCATAGCTGGTTAAGTAACATTTTATTTGGTGTACCAACCAATATATCTTTATAGCCCAACTTTTGCACCATTTCTATGAATATTTCGTAAATAAACAATTGATAAATCCTACATTATAAATCTGATGGAGCAGTTGTGCACTAACAGATCTATAGAAAGCAAGGTTGCTCCATTATCTTGAGCGTATATAGAGTTTTTACGTAGCATTCTCGCAACTTTAGGCTCGTTCAAAATTTAAACTTTGAAAAAGTTTGAAAACGAATTCCTTTTTTTCTAGAAGTACTCAAAATACGGACCATGATATGCAAAAGTGGGAAAAAGCGATGTTTCATGGTCATCAGAAAATCAGAATTTCATCGTGCTATACGAAATATCTAGTCTAGTTTTTTCTATCCAAGGTCGTAATAATGCAATGGCTTTTATCATGATCAATAACATTCACTACGATATCGATATTTTAGCATTGAAAGCGGATAAACAACATTGACTAAGTGCTGATTACTGCAATACTTTTTTATCACAAGACATTTTTCAATTTCAAAAAATCCTCCAGTATTAAGGAGCGGCAAAATGTCTTGCAAAACTCAACTGAATTTTTGGATAATCTTACAGACATCTAGAAATCTTGTGACTTTGTGCTCATTCGAATTAAGAGAATTAACGTAATATTTTTCATGATGTCTTGAAACAATGACTGCTGAGTACTGGCTAAGAAATGAACAGTTCAAATTCCTATTACAGCGTCCCCTAGAAAAACGGAGAAAAAAACCTGCGAACAAAAAGTTGAGTGAACTAGCCATTTTTGGCCAATAAATAAAAGTTTTTTCCAACAATTGATTGATCACTATTCATTGGTCATTTTTCTTGCAAAACTCAATTGAATTGTTAAAAAATGTACAGAAATCTACAATCATGTGCGTTAAAACAATGACGGCTGAGTACTGGTTAAGAAATGAGCAGTTCAAATTGTTACTAGAGCGTCGTTTAGAAAAACGCAGAAAAAAAACCTGCAAAAGGTGAGTGAACTTGCTATTCTTGGCCAATAAATTAAAGTTTTTCCAACAATTCAATGATCTTGAATTTTTCGTTCTTACGAATACCGAAGCAAGAAGCAGCTAAGTTCAACTGATGAATGACGAATGTGACGAAACCAATCGAGTGGAAAAAGTACTTCAATCCGCACAATATGTGATATCGAGTTGTGTTAAGAACAGATAAATAAATAACATAAATTAATAAAAAATGCAAAAACCACAACAACATAATGGTATTAAATATAAAAATCTTGCCATGAAGGCATATAAATGGTATGCGCTTAAATGTCTGCTGAAGCTAGAGCACGATAAAACAGGAAGAGAGAGAAGGATGGAGAGAGAGAGAGAGGAAGAGAGAGGGAGAGAGAGAAAGAGAGAAAGACAAAGAGAGAGAGATGTCGAGAAATTGATGACCGACAGTACTTCCGTTTCAAAACATTAAAATACCTGTGTCCTCAAAATCAGCCCTTCATTTTAGGTCATCGACTTTGATTGAAACATTGCCTTCCTTCTTTTTGTTTTCGTAGTTTGGAATACGTATTATACAGAAATAGTAGGAACGAAAAATGTTGCTCTTTGTGTGCTTCATTGGACGCTTGGCGCTTTTGTAAGCTTCCTACCTTTTCCATTTCTTGATCCAGATGCACACCTTGAAGCATTTGTTTCTTTTAGCATGAATAGAACATCAAAAATAAATCCATTTCCAACGGTTGTTTTTCCCATGGTCCGACCTGACTATGCTTCCGCTAAATCGGTCAAAATCTAATGGCATTCTTTGCTCCTGTCTAGTAACTGATTTTACGGGAACGCTATTTTTAAAGGTGAAATAGTCTTCAGTTGGCCATAGTTGGCCATCCCGTGTCACTACATTCCAGTTCTCGCATCACATTTGTGGTAGCAGATGTAAAAAATTGAATTTGGTGAGGTAGTATTAAGTTCATTGTTAAATCCTTATCATTAAGTCAGTCAATGATAAAGTATCGTGAAAGGGTTATGGATTAAGCCGTCTGACTTTGATCGGTCTCTTAGACATACACCTTACATTCGAATCTGTATGGCTTTCACATCATTCGTGAGCGGTCGGTTGATTCTCTTTCCCACATTTGCCTTCGATTTCGGCCTAACACAAGTAGGAAGCCCGACCAAGGATCTATCGCCGAAATCCATTCTATGGAAAGGACATCGTGAAGACTTGACAACGCCTTTGCAAAGTTACGTCAGAAAGCCATGGAATATGATTCGCATGGCCAGCAATACGCCATTTGGAATATGTGCTGGGTCCGCACAACCAGTTAAGACGGACCGTCTAAGTAGCTAGGTATCAAGTACATACGAATCTATTTGCTGCATCATGTGTGCGAGTGAACCCTTTTTGGCCCATGCAGTGACTCGCGATCGTCTTCGCATATATGAAATCAGTGTTGCTATTCTATCAGATAAGTATAAACCAATCTGCCAACCCTGGATGAATGAAAGGCTAAGTAATGTGCTCATAGAAGGGCTAAGGGCAGAGCGTTTGACCTCGATCAGTTCCTGGGTGATGCTTGCACGAGAGCAACTTGTTCACTTTGTACTGTGAGAATATCTCTAATATCTGCACTACACTCGCTGTGATTTCATTGTAGAATGCTTGAATTCTGGTTTAGAATTTGTTATGGTTCACCAATGATCTTTGCATGCGCAGCGGAGGTGCCCTAAATCCGTTTCCGTTGGGTTCTCATGACCTTTTCTGTCTCAACTGATTATAGGCCATTTCGAGGTCAAAAACGTACAATGGATGCTTCTTGTGCTCTCGGAATGTTGAGTGATCTTCGGTATCAAACTTAGCATTCTATTATGTTCAAATTTTTTATAACCCTGCTTGCTCACATGGCTGTTGTGTTTCGAGTTTTGTCATTCTTGTTAAAAAGGTTTGACTAAGAAATTTGCTCACGACATTGGCCGATTAGACGATAGTTGCCTATATCGTACTAATCTTCACTTCAATAAAAAAACACGATCTTGATAATTTTGATCAAAGCCTTGCATTCCGAAAGGTGATGGATGAAAAGTCGGCTCATATTTGTACAAAACTGTTATTGACTTTCAACACTACTCTCATCTGTATCAGATCATTGTACAGTTTTTCACCTGCAGTTTAGTATGTGGAACTAAGGAGGGAAAAACTGTCAGCAATGTAGTTGCCAATGCCAACAGTGGACGTTCTCCTCTCTCTAGGGATTTCTTTATCACATAAGTTGGTGAAGACGTACGGCTTAAAGATTACGAGCTAGCTCTTAGATAGAATTCTTTTTGAAATTAATATGTATACGTAACTAACGAATTTTTTCAAATCCTTTCTTTAGGGCCGCCAAATGTTGAAAAATCGTCATACCGTTCGTTCAGGGTGTTTTCTTGAGAACACGGTCAAATTTCAATATGCCTGATATTTAGTTTTGAGGGATGCATATGGTATGTTGTGGGCACTAATACAGTGCAATATACGTGTTTCGACCTTGCAGCCTCGTCAGTTGCACAGTGCCTTTCGTCTTAGCCAATCCGTTTTTAAGGGAGACCCAACCCCCTCCCCTCACATAGAGGAGATGCAACAAACGTACTATTTACACGCTCCATGAAGTGGAGGGAATACCACATGGGCAGTATTGTACAGTCGATTGCTCTTGGCTAGTATTTATAATTTATCATACCGTTCGTACAATGTGTATGTACACGTGTATTGCAATGTATGAATGCCCATAACAGACCACTTGCATAGCTCAAAAATAATTATCAGGCATAGACACCCTTTTCATTGACGTAAATGAAAGCATCTCCATGTCCTAAAAGGATAATGTTTCGTAGTTGTGGAGTTTTTCCATACTAAATCTTCCTGTCCGTTCTGTGGGGAAGAGAATTTGGAAGGAAAAGGTAATTCTTCTGTCGAATGTACAACTTGGACACAGCAATAGCTCGGACAAAACAATCAATTCAACATAATGTGGTTTACCTCGTTATGCTAATCGCTTTTGGTAAATCACCACTCCATCCAGTAAACACGATTATCATATGTAGTAATGGGAATGATGTTAGAATGCCGTCCTTCTCATTTTTTAGCTTCCATGATCAGTTCATCAGGGGATGTCTTCGGTCATAGCACGTCTGCGCTGTGTCTACAGATCGTCACCTTGGCTTTATAAGATTTAGGGACTCAGAAATCCTTCGATAACAATGTCCTCTGCCTTGTGTGTGTTCAAAAATGGTACAAGTACGACGAACAAAGCCTTTGTTTCTTCTCTTTGCAAATAAGCATCCATTGATAACTCGCCAGATTCTATGATGCAGAATATCTTCACATGGTACCCAGGATTGGAAATTCATTGTGAATGCAATTCTTAATCACTTCTCATTAACTTCACAGAGGTCGGTACATCCATGGACGGTTTCGATTGGTTTTGAGTGATATGTGCGCATAGACTGAAAAGGCTACGTCAGTCCGCCATTGAAGAGACAACTGTTCTTCTTTTAAATCAACATAAATCTTGAGCAAATAAGTGATTGCCTTGGTTTTTGACCTTCTCTCTAGTCTAAGAGTGTGCCAAGTAATATTACGACTAGCCTTTAGTAAAACTATGGACTAATGAGGTCTATTTCACCTCAAGTTGGCCTTTGAAAGGCTAAGATACTGATATTCCTAGCTGAGGTTGATTTAAATATTCTGTAGAAATGTGCCTTTTGTGAAATTTACGAAGTCCCAACAGCACCGGTGATACTCTTCTCAACCGCTATATATTCAGCAATCAATAATCAATTTAAATTCATTTATTTGACCGCCTCTTGCGGTGTTATGGTCTCACGATATACCCAATAATGTGGAGCGTTGTGCAAAAGCGTTTGCGTCAGTCGAGATTCGAACCCAAATCTCACTCTTTCCGAGTGCGTATGCTAACCGTTGCACCACTGACGCTCGTTTTGCACAGGACTCTCTTTACACTACAACGCGTTATCTGCCAACAGCCAACCGTCGACGGTCTGGCGGGGCAGCCGCTATCGGCATTGAACCCACTTATGTTGACAGATATTGGGTTTCAATGATCAATCGGAAATCATCTTATTTGACCGCCGATTGCAGCGTTATAATGTGTTAAATAAACCCATTGATGTAGAGTGATGTGCAAAAACGTTTGCGTCAGCCGGGATTTGAACCCAGATCTTACTCTTTCCGGGTGCATGTGCTAAACCGTTGCACCACCGGCGCTCGTTTTGTACTCCACTCTTTCTACGCCACAAAAAAAGTGGGTTCAATGCCGATAATGACTGCCCCTCCACACCGTATTATGCTTTCTTAGCCGGGAATGGTCCATATGTAGCTAGAAGAAAGTGAATTCTATTCCGGTCTATTACAACATAACCCTTTCTCCTCACTTACACTGTTCACAAATTTCCTCAATTTCATTCAATATTTATCAAGTACGAACAGGCTTGATTTTCCATTTGAGTGAATATACTTCAAGAACGCTCTCTTCGCGCTGCAGATCTTGCTGCTGAGATCTTCTGCAAGTGTCAATCGTTAAGATCAAATTGAATGCTTATTACAGCTCTTCCTTAACACGTGTAAATTAGATTCCTCAGTCCTACGATTTCATGAGAGGCAGGTCATGATGCCGATTTATTCAAATATTATAGTCAACAGCGTTTAGAATCATAGAAATTCGAGGACGTACTTGATCAACAAATATTTTGAAGGACTGTCTCCAACAGAAATTAGCCCCTTAAGCGCTTGAGTCCTACTTAATTCTATTTTTAACGCCTCGTCACATGTACAGGTATAGAAGGGAGCTGAGTACAATTTCAGTGTTGCTATGGAGATCACTATTTACTAAATAAGGCGAGAAAGATGTTTAGAAATACAGGTGCTCATGAGCTCTCGAATAAGTGTGCGATTAAAGGGAAAACGAAATTATATCAGAACTGTAAGCAAATGGTCCCGATTTCTAAAAATTTTGAAGGGAAGTACGCTATAATGTAGAACATCACAAACGAAACGTTGTGCTATCAGCTTCTGTGAAATCATTGTGAGCATAGAATCTACTGCTGGATGCTGAAGTAAATGAGAAATATATCTATGGAAGTCTGACCGTAGCGTTTCATCCATGTTCATCAATATATAGATTTATTGTTGTATTATGTGAGTGCTCTCAATAGCATTACGTGACATCAATGGTAAAAGGTATACACTTAAATATCACACATAGATACTCATGTTGTTCTCAAATGTCTCGAAGTATTATTGAGGAAAGAACTTTGCAGTAAAACATGTGTTCTTCGCATCTTTTCATGCTCACTCTACTAGGGGATCGGCTCACATTGTCCGCCAAAAGCTTGTTACTGGAGCTGCCTTCGCTTCAGTGATAAAAGACAACGATAAAGCTCTCGACGTTTATTAATGCCTCAAGCATGCACCATTCATTCGACACCATCAAGCATCGTAGAGTTTATTGCAGGCAGATCTCACATCTCACATCATTTACAAGGTTCGCCATCACTCCTGAACAAAAGTAGAGCATTTATAATGTGCTATTTCATATCAACATTGGAATTCATGAGAAAAGTAAGTTGCGTCTTACTTTATTTCCAGTTTATACTAGAGTCCTAATCTAACAAATACTTCCGCAAGCGGAAAATAGGCAAAACACGCACTTTAGACCTATATCAGCGCAGACATGGCTGTTAGAACTTTTCTTAAACAAATAAGTAATATGTGAGTCATTACCTCTGTAGTGTTTCTCTTGCAGCACGAAGCCTTTCCGCCATACCTCAAATGTTAAATGATGGTTTTTCCACCACAGATGTTGCAGCAGTAATCGACATAAAGGATACAAGGACAAAGTTCTTGACACTAACTGATCCCTGAGGGATGCGCTGTGCATTCGACTCCACTAAACATCGTTCGAGGTGATTGAATGCCTTTGCGACACATGTAATAACTTCCATTTGCCTATCATCATACCAAATCAGTGTTTTTTATTCTTCTCAAATGAATTCTGCAGCCAGTCTCCCGACCATGGAGGGATAAAGACTAGGTAAGCCTGAGGAGTGAGTTTCAACCAGAAATTAATCCGTGTGTACGGCAGAGCACCTCTAAGCATGCGTTACCGCTCCCTACACAGAATAGCTTGCGGAAAACCGTTGGTGAAGCAAATTTGTTGTTATGCAAGTTCTGCAAAGTCCTCTACCTTGTGTATAGGGCACAATAATAGAATTTTGGTGATGCTTCAAGATTTTTCTAATTGTACCTGTTGGGATCACCTGCCGCATCACCTGTCTTAACGTTGATCGCCAAGTCGACCCAAGCGGAAGCTATTAACGAAACCATTCGTCCCTGTTGCGCATACATTATAGCGTAGTCGAATCTATGCGCTTCAAGGGACACAAAAATCGCCATAATCTCTTTACCTATCGTATGTTCCTATGTGATTCACTAGGAACCCCTCATCCATACTTCTCAGTAAAAAAATATCACTTTTTCTAGCCCATTTACTTTTTTAATATCTTAAGGAACTCAAAACTCTCTCACCCATTTATATGACACCAGATATCTCTTGCATCGATACCTCAACAGGGCTTGTAAAATTGTGACCAATCTCAATTCTAATTGTGTAGTGTCCACGCTTTCAAAGGAATGTTAAAGTGGGATTAGCACAGCCAACAGGCACAAACGGAAGCAGCCATCCTTTACCGTTTTCTTCTAGATCCTCGATGCTGTTATAAGCTCTCCAAGACACTTGAGCCCTCCTGCTCAGTATCGGAGCTAAGTGATTGATAATGTTGACTTCTCAGCTGAGGTATACATAGCTACGATATTTTGAGGATATTGGTCTAGGTGAATATGAAACAGAAACGATACGATTTGACATAAACACTATTCTTTGAGGTTAAACTTAAGAACAATTTAACACAAGTGTTGTTTGAGTCATCCTGCATTCTTTTCCTCTGGTTAGTGCTTACTATCAGGAGAACGAAATCATCAGCAATGTAAACGTGGTGTAGTCGTTGAGGATCGACTTCCCTGTCGAGTTTTAACTCTCATAAACTATTTTTTTTCATTTTCACGGTTGGGTACGATGTGAACTACATTTCCAAGGACGCTACGAGAAAAGAATAGTGAGTAAATAAAAGCTTAAACATTGCGATCGCGATGGCAGCTTAATTTCAAGACTTTCTTTGATTCAACAGATACGAGTTTGTCAATACACTTTTATTTTGCAAAGTAGTACAATAGATATCGTACCGGTAGGTAACTTTCAGCAGTATTGCCTTTCTCAAAGCCGCTTCGTTATCCACTGAATAGGAAGACCAGCCGCACTGAATTTGTGCACTTTGAGGTGTCACACTTCGCCCATGAAAAATTCCGTGTGGCTGGTCTACATATTTAGTGGATAGCAAAACAATAAAACGGCTTTGAGGAAGGTGAGTCTGCCGAAACGCTAACCACACATACGATCTTTATTGTACTATTTCCTACGTGTATTTACAACCTCACGTTTGCTGAACCAAGGAAAGTCACGGAATAATTCAATCAATGCCGAGGTTAATCGGAGGTTGATCGAAGTCGCTCTTGGGAGTAGCTCTATTCCAAATGAGGTCGGTGCCGGCTTGAACTTCGCAAATCATTCACTTTGACGGGCGATTGCTAATAAGCATCGGCAGAGTGAGAAATGGCGAAAAGGAAGACAAAACAAGGAAGTTGGCTGATGTGGTGAATAACACTTGAGTTTGCGGAAAGGGAAATCGCGAATTCAAAGCCTATGGAGGTTTTGAATCTTGCTGGTTTAGCGTTACACTGGTTGTAATTCATTGCCATGTGATTTTTTTTGTGTTCTTATAGAATTATCGAGTAGCCTTGATATTTTTGAAATGATTTTGCACTGTATTATCAAGTCCTCAATTCCTCAATGATGATATCGTTGTGTAGCGATAATACTTGGAAATATCCGAGATTTTTAGGAAGACTTTTACAATATTGCGTAAAATACTAGATAAGTCACGAAGAATCTTTCAATACTGAGTAGGAAGCTGTGATTGCCTAGAATTTCTATGGTGAACAGTTTCTATCCAGGCTAAGAGAAGGGTTAAGTTAGCGAAAATGTGAGCGAGCTCTCGTTTGCTACGACACTTCGATTAGTTTCGTTATCCTGCTATTGTTCTTCATAGTAATGGAATGAATGGAACTGAACACGGTGGTCGAAAATGATGAAGATTTGGATGATTTTATAGCCTATTTCTAGGAAAAAGTGACGCTTCATTCGATATGGGGAGATCGAACATCCTATTACAGATGGTAAAGTCTTGTGTATGCCGTGACATAGTCCTTCAAACCTTGTCACTTCTGCGAGGAGTGCTATTTTTCTCTTCTCAAAAATTCATTGTGTTCCCTCTATGCTTAACATTTCAAATTTAAACCCAGAAAAATCGTTGGTAAGACTCGTTCTCATGTGGGCAATGGTTTCGGACAAAGAGTTTTTCCAGAGTTCTCAGTCTCACGACTTTCCGTCCTATCATGAACTTATTTAATCCACCGCGGAAGTTTTTAATGAGCTGAGTATTTTTACAAGCATAGCTCCATAAAGTCCTTATCATATTCACCTCAATAGGAGATTGATATTGGGTAGTTGAGAACATTGGATGTTGATCCTTTCACCATCATGTGTCCTGTTTTCGGTACATTTATGTCTCGGACGTTTCTCTCTGCATCTAGAGATTTCTTTACTACAGTTAACTTGGTGGCCTAAAAATCTGTCCTTTGAAGCCCGCCTTTTTCTGGCCTAAAACTTTTTCGGACAAAACAAAGGAACCGACACGAACAATAGGCTGATGATCTCAGGATCGGTTCGTTACACCTTATCTAATTACTGACAACTAAACAAACAGTGACTTCAGTGCACATGTAAATCGCGTTAAAGGACA